GCAATGAGTACAGTACGGCCGAGTATTGAAATTTCTTTCGTATCTCCTGCCCTGCCTTACTAAGGAGTTGTCGTAGTAGCTTTGCCTAGGCAGGTTAGTGCTGTAGCGTGTTACTCTAGGTGGATTGGCGCCAGGTCCTCTACGAAATTCCCTAGATCTGTTATTCATTAGTCTTTCGAGTCACGCGTTAATGCGATTTAATTGAGCTACCGAGTGTGATAGTTGATTAGCTTCGTCTATTTCTGCAACTTGTGGTCAAAGATATACGCACACTGACACACAAGGACAACCCTCAATAAAATGCATTTTTGCATCGCATTAATACAAAAAAAAACGCAAAAAAACTATAACAGGTGTCCTTCGCTATCAAATTTGAGATCAAGCAAGGATTTTATGTGTGATTTTGAATCAGAGCTAGCACCAGGTGCTGCTGATGGTCCAGCACATTCTTTCCTTCCACGTGCGGGACCAAGCGAAGAACGCTGCCTCAGTCGATTAGACGAATCCTGTTTCCTAAAAATTTATCAGTCATTGTGGTGACTTTTCAAATAAGCTAAGGCCAAGACATTTACAGTCACTGGCACAAATAGTGTATTTATACAGCTAGATTAACAAAGTTCCCTTATAACTGACTAATCCGTTTCGATGGTAAATTGGTGCTAGTAAATGCTAAGAAGTCAATGCAGCTATCAATATGCTACTTCTAAATAATCTTCGGAAAAAAAACAGCCATCAAAAGCTTTTCCCTGTGTGGTTACACTTACTACCTGTTCGAGCTACTTTCGAGTGCTTCCGTCCCTCAAAGAAAATGAATGCAAAAGGGAATATGACTTTTTAAACTTAGATATTTTTTGCTTATGAAAAAGGTTGTAAAAGAGTAAAAAGTGAAAATAAGAAATAATGAAAAACAAAAACTGATTTGGAATGTTCCGGTCCGTTAAGTCGCATACATTCCTATTCAGTGCTGCAACTGGACCTCGTCACGGGTCGATCATACTACTCGTCTCTTTTGACCGACATATCCAGTAGCAAAAAATTTTTGGTTTTAAACAAAAAGAAGAGGAATTTTTGACGTTCGACTCACTTTTTTCCATTATTAGCATTTTCCTGCAATTCTTTAGAAGCACAGACTTTTGTTGTATTTTTCAGCGTTGGAAACAGATACGCTTTTTTAATGAGCGCATTTCCCGCTGCGCGCATTTGTGCCAATTGCACTGTATGTCCAGCGCCAACTGCCAAACGTTTCTTCCTAAAACAGATTGAAGAATAAGCTGAAAAAAAAAAAAACATATCGTGCTCTAATTTTCAGACAGCTGCTGAAAGGCAAATTGTACGGGAAGTTTTCTGGTGGTTTTCAAGACTGACAAGTGCAAGACACTGCAGTATGAAATTATTAAAATTCAAGGATTTACTTAAACAACCGTGTGAAATTACACGAATAAGTTGCATTCACAACTGAAAAAATGGCGAAACTGCCAAATGCAACGATGACAATAAACACAATGATAAAACAGTGAATTTTCAAAACAGCAAAGCGGATAATCTAGCATCAAAAACGAATTCGAGGTCTGAAAATGAAAAACTTGATAAAGCACTGTACCTAAAATACACAGCGACCTTATAAACCCTTGTATTGGTTGGGCCCTCGACAGCTATCGTTCGGTACTCCGGTATGTCCGGTTCACCACCATCCATTTGGCGTAATGTTAGGCAGCACTGTTGCAGCTGCGATTTCGGATCGTTCCATCGTTGCGAAGTTATGAAATACTGAAAAAAAGGCATCAGTTTGACGGTCATCAGGTTTCTCGACATAAATTCTACAAACAGCAAAACCCGACCGGTTGGGACTGTGGATTTTAACTTCAACACATGAACTCCAGTGATTCCGAGAACACTAATTTTTGTCAAGTCTTCTTCTGTAGGGAGTACTGATGGACCACTAGTGGGCTGAATGACCAAAAGAGCAACGAAAGGAAAGAAAAGAATGGAAACGAATGCTCAAGTTACCAACATCCGCGGATCCAGAGGAGGGGGGAGGGGAGGGAGCAGTGCGACGATTGAAGGGTGGGTTGGGAGCGAGCCAAGGAGGGGGGTTGCAGTAACGGAGGAAGAAAGGGAGGTGAAAAAATCCCCCTTCCCTCCCCCCGCCCCCCAGGAGACCGCGCTGGATTCGTCTATGGTCACCAAGAAGCGGAACAGCAGACAATAAAACCTCTCCACCTCCCCCTAACGTGGAATATCTGTCAGCAATATGTAG